ATTTATTAATATTATTTTTTTTCTTCGTTTTATAGGCGATAAAAAAACATCATCTCGCATTTATTCGAAATTTAATATAATATAATGAAAATCTTTTTTTGTGAAAAACTCGTCATATCGTTCTCGAGATGTTTCCCAAAAAAAATAACGATACAAAGACTGGGACAGCACAAGGGTGGAAACGAAAACGGGACGAAAAGACGTGCGAACAAATTCCCCTCTAATTAATACCTGACCACAATGGCGGAAAGCGCCGCAATTTCTCGGCCTTAAAACCAATTTGTTGCCCGCTCTCGGGCTCCTTGTTTCCTCTTCGGAACGGCGCGACGCCGGGCCTGTATTATGCTTAGGGTTCCGCCATTATGTTTCCCCGGTTTTGCCGAAACAATACAGCGTATAAGCGGCCGTCGCGCTACGCCCCGACGTAATATTACGCTGATTTATATCGACCATTCTGCGACTCGCTCTGCAACATTACATTCACTCACTAAGCGATCGAGATCATTATGATGTAATAAACGTTCGGGACAGACATCGAAAGAATTCCGCGTACGAAGAAAGTTTCTCTTCCTTGAGGAGATCATCGACACGTAAATCATACGTGCGTGAAGGCATTCAAATATTAGATCAAGAAGAGGAGAGCCTAAATATGAGAGCACGAAGCGTTTATTATGTGTTTTAATTATGATAATATTTTTAATGAAATGAAATATTTGTGTTATAATGCATTATTTTTGCAATTGTATATTGTATATTAGGAATAATTATTTCTTAAATAAGTTGTGTATTTCGTAGGACAATTACAATTCGTAGATATATCGGCAAGCCACATCAGAGGAATAAATGTAAAATTCTTACGCACGAGAGATCATTCGAACTATCTTATTCTCCTTGTTAAACAAAACAAGAATTCGCCGTATCAGCGTAAAGAGCTCTCAGTCGTTCTAATATTTCCGCGCAATATCGCCGCCGTCATTTACGAAACGCCGGATAGTTTGTATAATGCAACGACGGGACGTGTCTCTGTATATTTGCGCAATATCCCTTTACGGAGTTCTTTTATGGACGACGGAATAGAGATTCTTTGCATGGAAAGACGTCGAATAATTCAGTCGGTGCTGTCTCAAATATGATTATTATAATTAATATATATATATGCACATATATATTTAACATGTAGAGATTAATGTTATTAGATGTTAATTAATTAATTAGCCAGAATTCCATAAATTTGTGTCTATTCTGAATATGAGCCTTCGATATAGATAATAATGCGTTTTATTAGGATTAATATTACTATTGAGATTCATCAAATGTCAAATAATTACGTTTCAATAATTAATGACAGTAAAATGCAATGTGATATATTAGGTGTTGGAATTAATTCGTAGCGTTTTTTAATGAAAGAATGTTATTTATTTCACATGAGCATTAAAAAATACATTAATGAAAGTACTTTCCATCACTTGTAAAACGCTACGAATTAATTCCAACACCTAATAATTAATAACAAAGGAATGCTATACATTTCCATTTTCAGTTCTTAAGAATAATTAATTATTCACGGATTCTGAATTTATCTTAAATTTAATATTGTATTAAAGTGAACGTTGCAAATACGATGATTTTATAGCTTAATTAACATTTGATCGAACTTGTTATGTTTGTATATGTAATGTTAATCTTTAAGCTTGTAGGTTAAAAATTTAAAGATACACAATGATAGGGGGATGCTCAAAATATCCTAAATAAAATTTAATTTTATAGTTACATTTTTTATTAATATTTTATGTATTATGTTACAGTTAAATTTATATTAATTATATTCTTCTAAATGAACTTTAAAACTTTGGGCATTGCATTGACCATCTGGATAATATTTTTTGTTTTCATTTTCCAGAACAGGTTTTAAAGAAAATTAAACTTAAAATGCTGTAACCATCTACCCGTTTAAAAGTTAAATTTCACAATTTATCAATAGAAAGATATAATAAACTAAAAAAAATATTTCTCTTTTAAGAATGATAACTCAAAAAGAATGTCAATATGCAGATGTCTGCACACGACACAAAGTAACATTCAATCGAACGGGCACCGCGATAGTGAACGCGAGTTTTGTGAAAACGGATAGTAATTTTTTTTCTCTTTCTTTTGAGAACCGTTTAAACATGTCACCCGCATTTTTGAAGCCCAATCTCAGATAGATTCGTCAGGTTGCACGACACGACGATTTCATTGCCGCGCCGACCTCGTAGTTTTGCATGAGGCTAAATGCGAAATTAAATCCGAGCATGTAAACGACCGTCATGTATACCCTGTCACCGTTACAAACGCAAGTCACGAATCCGTAGCACACAGAACGCGTCTTTTGCTTTTATTTACGGTTCGCCTGCTCGCACTGCGAAGCCGTCGATTTAATTCCGAAAGTTCCCGGCGTCGCGACGGCGACATCGAGAAAGAGATGCCCCGCCTTGCACGACGCGATACGGCGACATGTGTCCGTAATGTCTGCGTAACACGTGAAACTTCTTGCATTTTAGTTGCGTCGATACTATTCCTTTGATCGATGGAAAAGAGAGGAATCTCGAAACGAGTTCCATCAATGTTTAACATTCAATAGTAAAGCCTTCTACAATATCGATGTGTTTTACGAAATTTGCCTTCACAGATTCTTTAACTCTCTAGAAGCGAATGCTGCATCTTTACAGCGTTCATTTTAAAATTAAATTCGGGATAAATTCAGGATCTGTGCAGATTAATCACACTTAAGAACTGAATATAATAATGTAGCAGTTATTGAAATATAGTGTCTCTAATCGATATATATTGATGTATGTTGATCGTCTATATAATATCGATAGAATAACTTCACTTGTAAGTCATTTTTAAGCAGACAGTAAAAATTTTTTTGTTATATAAACACAATGCCGTCCTAGAGAAATAATCCATATTTAAAATCAATATTTATTAACAGAGATAGAGTAAAATAGAGTAAATAATTTCTAATTTTATTTTATCATAATTTTAATTTTTATTGAAATTAAAAAAACTTATTTATATGTATATAATCTTAAAATTGATAAATTTTAATGTTGATGACATCCGACTAATTTTTTTTACGGAAAGCTCTTTGAGTAAATCCAAGAATTTTTACGAAAAATTTATAGATTTTTTTTAGTTTTAATTTAAACAGCACATTTTTTTATTCATGAAAAATGTCACTTCGCATAAACTATGAATGCGGTTCATATCAGGGCGAAGATATTAATACGCTGCATGCAACGCGATGCATTCGTGCGTGTTGCGTGCGTGCATAGGATTTTTTTCCATTTATTTCCCCGTGTCTTTTAGCTGAGCATTTTTACAACCACTCGCGGGTCGACATCTTTATCGTTGTCGTTATAAAAGTTCAATGTACCTTTTGGTTAGTACTGCCTCGCTGATTAACCCTTTCAACGCCGATGGCATTGCGCAAAGAGTTGCGCAATTTATGCGCATACATTTCACTTGCGCGTCCGATTTCACCATTTTTTTCTTAGTCATCCCTTACACGAGGCACCGCACAAGAGACGAATGCAGTACAGTGTTTTAGCGTGATTAAGGTAAATGAGTTCTAGTTGCGTTCCATCACGTAACTTTTGTTGCGTGATTTTGAGCAGACACGCGGTAGACATTAACACATTGTTTATGTTTATTATTTATATATGTATTATACAGTGACTACCAAAAGTTTTCAACCAACATATAATTTTACGATAACTTTTGTCGATCTGTTTTTCAGTTTATATTATAAGTTAATAAAATTTCAATTGTTATACAATCAACTTAAAAATATATTTTACTACAATATATTAAGTTTTTGTATATTAAATCTTTGTTTATAAAAATGTTTTATCTGAGTAATATGATTATTTCTTGATCAGAAACTTTTGGTAGCCATTGTATGTCGTATGTATTTATTATTTATATTTGATAATTTGTGAGTATATATTATTTGGAAATATTATTAAATATTTAAATACTTGAATGTATAGGAAATAGTTTACAAAATACTTTACAGTATCAAAATTGTCAAATTTTATTCTAATGAAAACATGTTTAAAATTTGCAATTTGCAATGCTGAATGAATTTCTATCTCGATTTATCATCTTGTTTAAAATAAATCTTGGTTGCTATACTTATATAATAATTTTTTTATGATAGTATCGAAACGAATAACGTTTTTCATGTCATACGAGAGAAATTAATTTCTACTGATAATGTTAATAACTTTCGCTTCATATATTATCAAGATCTATTAATAGCATCTAAATGTCATGAGAGAGAAATGATTCATTTTTATTAACACAGCGCAAAGTTGAGACGCGCATTTCCATATGAAACACGCATCATTCACTTTTGCATTGCGTGACTAATCCATCACACGCACCCTAAACACTCCACGTAGTTCGAGTAATCTTACTTGTTTTAACACGCTGGTTTACCCTTTCTTTCCCTCTTTGATGTTTTTCCGTATTCTTTTTCTGCCTGGTCATTTACGATTCTTTTGTGCGGAAAAAGACAACTCGAACAAATTGCCTAAGAAAACGTTTACAACATTAGACTTCAGACAGAATAATTTGTTGCCAAAGTATTATCTTAAAAATAGTATAACAAATTATAGATTAACTGAAATAGATAAGAAATAAATTACCAAGTTTTAAGGATATCGATTTATCATAACAGATATATATAAGATTTATGTGTTTCTGTTTAAAATTTAGTATTCCCATGTTTTGTATACATAGGTATATAAAATTAGAAAATTATGTAACAGAAATAATAATTTTGTATTTTTTTAAAGTATAATAGTGTACTTGTTGCTTTTTTTAGTATTTCCTCTTCGATAGTAACTTCTATAAATTTGACGTTTGTGAAGCTTTATTGCGGAGTTCCTTCATTTATCATTATATACATATCTACCTCGACATTTATTTTTTATTCTATTTTTTTGTTACAGCTTGCTTTCTTCACGTACTATACAGTAGCGATGGGTGAGGTGAATCCCTCCGGGCCAGTGCCGATCGACAGTGTCTTTATTTACAGACCAGACAAGCGGCTCGAACTCTGGAGGTTTGCCTTCTACATGTTCCTGCACGCTGGGTGAGTCGTGATTTTCTTTATTAACGACATTTGATTGGATATTTTGCGCATTCGATCTTTTTTTTCCATCTCGATTCAGCTATTTGCGTAATTGCAAGCGTGTCTCTCGCGAATATACATATTTAACGAATATTTGTGGTATCATATCTCGATAATATCGGATCTCTCGATCGGATCTCTCAATGCCGCGTTATCCTTGTGCCCTGCCAGAACGCGTCTGCAATTCGATTCTCTCTTTGCTTCGTGATATGCAAGTGCATCGTTAATTTTCTCTATCATCACAGAGAGAGAGAGAGAGAGAGAGAGAGAGAGAAACGCCAATGTAATTCGAGAAGCACACGTTTGCTTTTATATCACGTATCAGCGCGACTTTATGTAACGTTCCAAACCAACGTTTTTCGCACTAATGGTTACAAAAGCAAATCTGCGTCATTGCGCATTCAAGTTATCGAGGATGTCGCAGGCAAATTTGCGACTAGAAAAATACGAGAGAGAGAGCCCAAAGCGAGTCGATAAAACTTTCGAAACTTTAGAGCGATGACAACTGTGAAGAACGCATTTTTCGTCTCGCAAAAATTGCATTCACCAAACAATCTTGGCTCCCGATTAGCTCAAATAAATGGTCTACGGCATATAGACATAGATTCCATTATTTGTTGAAAACGTCATTATTATCGGCGATGAATAATAAAATTTAATTTAAGCGTTGCGGCGGAATATCATTCGTTTTTGTGATATTGCGTCGCGATATTGTCGTATCATATTTACAGTAATATGAATTGTAATATAAAAGAAAAGAAGAGAATCAAACCGAAACTCTGAAATTGATAATGGCGTCGTGGTGCGAAATATCACGATATTATGGTAGTTAAAAAAAAGGGATCAAGATAAACGTCCCAGTCGTGCTTTTCGCTCCTTTTTTTACCTCTTTTTTCGCGGACTTGCAGAATCAACCTACTTATTGCATATGTTCGCGCGTGTTCTGCAAATTTAGTTCAACACAAAACCATATCTTTTATTGTTCAAAAAAGGTATGCAATATGCTTTTTACGTTTTGTCAACAATAAAGAATGCAGGTCGCAATCATATCTGGATTTCGCGGAATATCAAAAGGAAAGAAAAGCTCTCAGAAAAATATAAAAGAAAATAAATAAGAAAGAAAAATATTATAAATATATAGTAAAATAATAGAAAGAAAATGAAATGTGCGTTATCAGATAGACTTTTCACGTATTTTGTTATTAGAAAGAAACTTTCTTTGTATATAAAATATCGAATGTGCTGTTGGAAGTGACACGATATCAAATCTTTAAAGCAAATCTTAATTTTGAAGAACATTTAATGTGTAAGAAGATTAAAATTGACAGCTCTATCTCGCATTACTTAAGAATGTATTATTTTACAACAAAAAGAAAAAATTATGAAATAATTATAAATTATTTTATATTGTATTTGAAAACAATTCAAAAAGTTTGGCAGCGATTTTTAGAACCTGAATCAAAAATTATTTCAATAAGAAATAGGCATTTTAAAAAATAATTTTGAGATAAAATGAAAACATTTTTATTTAAACTATAAAATTGTATTGTTAAATTTTATAAATATTAACTTTAATTGAACATGTATATAACATTCATTTTTATACGCAAAGCATAAATTTTCAATTCCAGTCTTTTTCACAGAACCTATACACCTGATACATTCTTAAACCCCTTTCTTTCTCTAGAAAATTTGTTTATGATTACAAGAGACAAACTGCAGAATGTAAGATACTCGCGTGCACGAGATCTGCCTGGACGAAACAGATGCGACTCTGTGCATCTACGATCAGCCACCTGCGTCTATCATGGACGTTAGACATTGAGTCACTCAATTAATTATAGTCAATTGCAATCCTTGTACCACGTTGTCGCACGTCACATCGATTGAATTCGAACGACGCGACGCCATGTAGGAAACAAAATTGTATAAGCGTTTCGGTATGCGTTTTATTCTCTCATGCCGCGGTAAAGTGGAGCACAGGGAGAAGGTGGCAGCTTTCTTCGTTCACAACTATTTTTCCACCGTGTCTTTTGCTCTCATTTTCTTTTCGCTTGCTCCCTCTGGTTTTTACCACCACTTTCTGTTCTCCCCAACGACTTTTTTGCTCTCCTCTTGGCTTCTCTCATCCCTCGCATTCCTTTAGACGCATCAACATTTCTATACTCTCTCCCATGAGATGAAAAGAGATCGAGAGATGAAACCGACGGATGACTCTGTATGCTTGTGCTCTCTCTCTCTCTCTCTCTCTCTCTCTCTCTCTCTCTCTCTCGCCGACAGAGTAGTTTTCAGTACGCGAAGCTCTCTAAATTATTCATGGAAACGCCAGATAAGACGACCGTTTTCCGTACGTGCGTATGGAAACGACGATAAGAGTGACCTCACTGCTGTTTTCTTTCCTATAGAAAGTATGCATTCGCCCAATCTTCGTCGCTCTTCCTTTCTTTTATTCTCTATCTTCTTCTCTACTATTCTCTTTGTTCCTATTCTATTTCTGATATTAGATTCTCCTTATTTAACGCATCATTCCTTTTATCTTTTATTTCTCTTTGCATTCTGCACGTTGCATTTATCTTCACCTTATCTTTTCCTGTGTTGATTTCCCTTTTTTGTAGATCGGTTATTAATGTTTCTTTCATTAACTTTTCTTCTTTTTCTTGATACTAATCTTGTTATTTATTATGCATTTTTTTATATTTATATGTATATTGAAATAACGCATGTTTTTTAAGACTCTAAACGTAATAACGCGGTTGTTACCATTTCACTTTTAAACCGTGAAATTCAGGATCTTGTTGGTGTGTGTGTATTATATGTGTATGTGTGTGTCTGGTATTCACGCTACTTACATGCGTCTAATACTCGTTTCTATCATTGTAGATTAACTTTAATCTCGGTTCAACTTACTCTTTATCTTCTTTTACTTCTTAAAACTAGAAAAAGATAAAGAGTTAGTTGAAGATTAAAATTAGACTAAAGATTAAAATTAAACTACATTCCCAGAAAGGGCATAATTAGAGGTTTTTATGCATTATTAATTCGAGGTTCGTTATTACGAGGTTTCAATGTACCTAATTTGTCCATATTCTCATAGTCTCTTGATGCTACATGCTATAATACTTAACTTGCTAATATTACATCGTTATTTTCTGTTACACAATTTGTTCAAATGGGACTTTAGTCTCGTTTATCTCTGATTGTACCTAATATTCTTTGTTTCTACTTCGATCCTTCTCCTTTTTTTAAACTTCTTTTACTGCACAACTTCTTTCTTTTTATTGATTATTTCTTTCATCGATTCGCGCTCTCGCGGCAGTTGGATTATTAATGCGAGCAACGCCCCACGCGCGTCCATCAAAAGTCATTTCTCCAAGCATTTACGTGATCCCGAAAGAAATCAGGAGCGATAGAAAGATAAGATATACGTTGTAACGCGCGCGGTAAGTCGAAGATAAATTTCGTAAAAGCTGATGAATTCGTTCGTGGGACGGATCTCCGGGGAAGATACTCTACACGTATCTGGATAGATACATTTAAAATTGCATCTTGAGAAAGCCATAAGTATATCGCGGCAAAGAATAAGAATAATAGAGCAATCGGTTTTAAAAAATTTGTATTCATGTTATTGACGTCAGTGATTCTCGGATCGATCATGTACGCGCGAGCATTATGTGTCGCTTACGCTAATTGGTATAAATCGAGGTTATGATAAGCGGTATAATGCATCAGCGGTGACACACGAGCTGCCAGAAGAGACCAAAAGCGCGATCCATAATCGACGAGTAAAAAGTCTGACGCTTCAACCGGGCGACAGGCGATTAATTATAAAAACAAGATGGCTCGCGCTATCGAGCGCCTTTTTCCGTCTCCGCGTAACGCCCGTTACCTCCGCCAGACGTTATCGAGCTTCCTCCGTTATTAATGTGAAAACTGTCTTTGCCGTCGTGCTCCGAAGTCGCGATTCTGTCCTATTTCACCGTCTCCTTCTCTCCCTCTTTCTTCATGTTCGCCGCGTGAGAAAGCCGGAAGCGCGGAAAAATCGAGACAATCGCCGTAATTGCGGGAAGTCAACGCGCGCGACAGCGTTGTCGGAGCAGACACAATGATATCGCTGAGTCCGCAAAACACGGAGCCGCACCGAAAAGATCGCGACGCTCGAGACAGGACACGCTTCCGCATTTCGTCGCCTGTGGTACATCAATTCGTACGAATCAAGCTTGAATTCACGGAGGACGCTTTGTTGCGCCCGAATCGTCGCTGGACATTCGTTCGTCCATATTTGAAAAACGCGGCTTGCAAGAATCCGGTGACGAAGAATTTTTATTTTCTTTGGTACCTAAAATCACGCTAAGCAGTTAATGTTTTCTTATAATAGATGCATGTAGTAAGTATATTGGTACTATTTACATTACCGCGTGAGGCAACTTTCATTTTAATGATTATATATCTACTGAAAAAAATAATCAACAGCATTATTTTAATTAAAAATTTTGTTAATTCACACAATAACATTATTAATGGAACAAATACGTCATGTTCTTGTTTTAATAAAATTTTATTTATTTTATTAATGATGTTATTGAATGTGTGAATTAACAAGATTATTTTAAATTAAAATAATCCTGTTAATATTACATTATTTTTTTCAGTGTTTGAAGGAAAAGCAACTTTTTAAATTACAAATATAAATAATTAAAATTATACTATTATTATTGTATATTATTTATACACACATATATTAAATTTAATTAATTTAGTTACGGAAACTTAAGTTTCTCTTTACTTTCTTTATTAATACGCACAAATAAAAAATTAAATATACTAGATTTCTTTGCAACAAAATTTATATAGTGCTACTAGTGGTGCAACACGCAAACGTAAGATAATGTGCTGTCTTCTTCGTGAGAACGCTCGCAAACGCGGCATCTTTCGGGCTCCGTAAATCATGCCGAAGTTCCTCA